GGGGGGGGGGGGGGGGAGAATCCTGAACCCGATTTTCTTCATACCAGGTCACATCATTAACAATGGATTTTTGACAACTATACTGCAGTTTGGAAAAGAGACTTAGTTTCCTTAGAAATATTACAATTTTAAAAAGGAAGGAAAGCAAGAGATATAAAGACATGAGTCCAATATCATAGGTGTGTTTGTGTGTCTGTGTTATCAAAGAACTTGCATCTTTGTCATCACAACTGCATAATGAAATCCCTGAAATCATAACATATGTAATGAAGGGGGCTTCTATTGCACAGCCACTGCTGTCATCTTCACTTTTTCGACCTCCAAGGTCCCTTCCAACATCATCATCATCATCATCATCATCATCATCATCATCATCATCATCATCATCATCATCATTATTATTATTATTATTATTATTATTATTATTATTATTATTATCCCACCCCCAGTAGATTCCTCTGCTCTGCACCATTCTCTATATCCCCAAATTTGGAGGGGGTGATGAAGAGGGAAAGTCAATTGCAGACATCCCATCAACAGGTGGATACAACTCAGAAATGTAAATGAATGAGATTCTTAGACTGGTGGGAAGCAAGCTATAAAAAACAAATTGTTTAAAATTAAGTCACTTGAAAGAGGCAGTGTGCTGTTTAAAGAATCTCAAAATACATACTATAATAGATGTACTATTAAAAGAGACAAGTACAATACTTTATTTCTATTTGACAAAAAAAAAATTACCAGCTCTATTTATTGGCACAAAAGTCCCTTCACAAATCTTAGAATTATTTGTACATCTGAGGAAATAAGATAAACATGTTACAGGATATAAAGAGAAGATATAAAGTTAGTCTAGAGTCTAGACATTTCAGAAACAGTCCAAGAAAACCAAACAAAGATGCTAAATCCTCCAACTAATTCTAAATAGAGTTCAGTTAGAGGTAATATTAAAGAGAATAGTCTCAGCTCCTGGAACTCTAGTTCTAATAAGTAAAAAGTTACACTTTTTTTCCGAAAAGTATTTATTGCCTTCTAAAGCACGTTTTTCCAGAAAAAAAAAATTAAAAAGTGGAATTAAATTAAATTCTCTTAAAGGAAAGAGAAAAGAGAAAGATATGAAATATAATTGTAAAAGTTTAATTTGCTCATTATCTTTTTTAAAAAATGTACCTCCAGAACTGTAGTAATTTACTAAAAGCGTTATGGTGTTGATCATTATTTTT